GGGGCAGGGTGTGTGTGTGCCCAAAATCCTAAGAGGAGAATGGAGAAGGGATTGTGGTGGGGCCCTGAGGGGTGATTTCTCACTTTCTGTCTCTGTCTCTCCAGTGAGCGCACACGCCCTATAGCCAAAATCTCTCTTAAAAAAAGAGAGAAATGGAGATACCCAGGAACCACCAACAGATTGAGGCCAGGGCAATGGTGTTGTCATTTTCCTAAACCCTGGTACATTTCAGAGGTGAGGAAGGTGTTCTTGGGATAGGTTCGTACAATGGACTGACTAAACCTGTTAATCATGCCAATGGCACCTCACTACCAGCCTGTGCTGTATCACTTGTGCTTGGTCCTCCCAGCCTTCTGGGGTTGGGAGAGTTGCCAGCTCCTTTTCCCAGCAAGTCACCTACTCCAGGACTTAAACTCAGGCCGTCTTATCTGGCACCTTCCATCTGCTTTTCGTTTTCTGCCTTCTGACACACACGGCAGCCCAGAATCAAGGCATTCTATCACATCTGGCTTGTGGGCCAAAGTGAGCAATTTGGGCAAAGGAGGTGGTCAGCACTAGCCCCTCCCTTGAATGAACAGGAACAAGTCTGGAGATGTTAAAAAGACTTTATCTGGAGACCAGCAGGTAGTGCTGGACTCACATGGCTGACCATGGTTCAAATCCCAGACCTGGCAGCTTGCTTTCTCACTCCCTCTTTCTCTCTCTGGTCAAGTTTAATAATAAACAAAGTAATTAATTAAATTAATAATTATTTTTAAAAATTATCTGTGAATTAACGCTATTAAAACAAAGAACAAAATTGGGACCCGCAGATGGCATGATGGTTACATTGCTGCACTTTCATGTAGCCAACCATAGTCTGAGTCCTGGACCTTCTGGCTTAAAACTCATGCCAGGTGTGCGTACCTGTGTGCCCAAAGTCCCAGAGTGCGGAGCTTGCAGGTGACAGTATGGCCTTGGCAAAATCTTACACTTCACCAGGCCCACTGGCTTCAAATTAAACATTTTTTTCTTAGATAGAGGTGCCTTTAAAAATGTATCCCTAAAGACTTTACTATTTTGATTGTACTTTTGTTTGGGGGGGGGGTTGCTATATAGGGCATATGTACTCGCCAAAGAAATAGAGGGAGACAGCAAGAAATCACGCCCCAAGGTGGATGGCCTCACTGCAATCCCTTCTCCTTGGTTCTCCTCCTAGAATCTTAGGCACATACACACACACACACACACGCACCCAGCGTGTTTGTAGCCACTGGATCTGGGACTCAAACTGCAGTTGGCCATGTGGGAGTCCAGTGATACAACTGCTATGCCATCTGTTGGTCCCTTGATTGTACTCTTAGTGTGCATAACTTAGGAACACTCTGAAACTGTTGTGTGTCCCAGGAGGACTCTCTGAAATGCTCCCTATGTACGAGGAAACAGAATCAGGAGAGTCACTGAGAATCAGAAAGGTCCACCTTCCTGACCAAGGCTCATAACCACTGTGGCCTTCCCCAGGCCTGCGTGAGCCTCAACCTACCACTGCCATGGCCCCAGTCAGCATCAATGAGCTGCCTGAGAACATCCTGCTGGAAGTGTTCTCACACGTGCCTGCCCGGAAGCTGCTGCTGAACTGCCGTCCCGTCTGCAGCCTCTGGCGAGACCTCATCGATGTTGTGACCCTCTGGAAGCGCAAGAGTCTACAGGAGGGCTTCATCACTGAGGACTGGGACCAGCCCGTGGCCGACTGGAAGATCTTCTACTTCCTGTGCAGCCTCCGCAGGAACCTCCTGCGCAACCCATGCGCTGAAGGTAGGCTGGGGCAGGGCTGCTGCTGGACTGAACCTCAGGGCCTTTGCTTATGTCATTTCCACACTGCCTGGAAGATCCTCTCAGATTCCTAATGCCTACCATGCTTCCATTCTTCATCAGAGACCTGCTATGATCCCTCACTAAATAAGTGCTCCATCTATCCTATCGCCCCCATTCAGTGCCTGCTAGCATGAATGGTCATGAGGTCATGACCTACAGTGACCTCACTTTTGTCTTTCTTTCACTGCCACAAACTGCAAAGTCCAAAGCCCAATGGATCTGGTCTGCCACTTGATACAGTGTCTTCAGTAATGCCTCACACAGCAGGTGCGCAGTTTGCCGAGTGAGTGATCACACTTCAGATTCACCTGTCCCTTAATTCAGTCCAATCTGCTGCTGTTTATCAAGGGCTTCCTCTGTGCTAGGCCCTCCGCTAAGGTCTTTTTTTTTTTTTTAATTATTTTATTTAACTTTATTTATTTATGTATTTTTTAAATTTTACCAGAGAGGGACAGAGTGAGAGAGAGAGAAGGAGAGAAAGTGAGAAAGCAAGTCACCAGGTCCAGGACTCGAGCTGCGTGGTCAGCCATGTATGAGTCCAGCGCCCTTAACCACCACACCACCTGCTGGCCCCCCCTAGGCTAAGGTTTTTATGAATGGAATTATCCATTCTCTTATTAATCCTATTGTACAGATGAGGAAAATGAGAATTTAGAGATGACTGCAGTCACGTATTTGAGGTTCCTGGTTAACCTGTAACAGTTTCCTGCATTTACCATGTTTGTTTGTTTGTTTCCTTCATTCACCCAGCACCGATTGTGTACAAGGTACCAGGCTTCTTACTGGGGCTACAGCAGTGATTATGAGGCATAGTCTGTACACTTAGAATCACTTTCACATCTGTTTTCTCCCTTTATACTTAGGGGGACCCTTGAAGTAGGTCAATTAGGATAAGCCGTTTTATAGATGGGGAGCTTTGGGCCCCAGAGCTGTCCTGCTCCCCTCTCAGAGGCCCCACAGACACCACCCCAGACACTCAATCTCTCCACCTGCCCCAGATTCCATTCAGATAGAGCCTGGCTAGGCCTCTGGGCCAGGTCACACCACCTTACAGAGGCAGCTTGTAGTCCTGCCTTGCACGGCACCCTGGGTCCGGCAGCAATCAGCCCAGCCTTGCTCAGCGTCAGCCCAGCACCTGGATTTCTGTACGAATTCTCCAGTTTTCTATGGAGAGCCCCCAGGGCACCCAGGAATGGGTGTAGGCTCCTGGTCCTGGGAGCAAGTGAGTCTTTTGGAAGAGCTCCACAATGACGGTTACGGAATGGACAGCCTCCATAGAGAAGCACTGTTTTCCAAGGTACCCTAAACTCAGTCTAAAGGGGAAGACCTCTCTTCCTCCTGGACATGGGGGGATGTCAGTGACCAAGCAAATGGCCTGTGTTGGGATGACCTCATATTAGCCATTAGCACACAAGTACCAGGCCAGCTGGTGGCATGGTCGTGGGGGCAGCTCATCTCACATGGCTGGCTGCAGTTCAAGTTCTGGGCCTGGCAGCTTGAAGAACACCAGCATATGTGTGTGTGCTAAAATCTAGATAATGGAGAAGGGATTGGATTGTGGCTGCCCCCTGCCCCAGGGGAACTGCCTTCTCATTTTCCCTTTCTCTGTCTTCTATGAGTGCATGGGCCCTATAACAAGTAAAATAAATAAATAAAAATAATTTTAAAAAAAAAAGAAAAGCAGAAGTACCATCTCAGGTGCTTCAATAGTTGTTTTTTGTTTTTTTGTTTTTTAAATTGCCAGAGGACATGTGCACTTGGCAAGGAGAGAGAAGAATCGCCTCCCAGTGGGCCATGGTCATACCCTAACCCCTCTCTTCGGTTCTCCATCCTGTTGGGATTTGGGGCATACATGTAGACTGTGCCTGGCATGTTTTTCAAGCTGCCATGGCTGGGATTGGAACCACAGTTCGCCATGTGGGATCCAGCTTCATAATTAAGTTTTTTGAGGGCTGAAACATGGGTACTTTGGGAAGTTTGGAAGGGTTTGGTTTGGAATTTCTGGTCATAATTCTCTTTTCTGGTTTCATTTTAGGAGTCAAGCTAGTTTAGAACAGAGTGGGAGGGAAAGGCAGGAATGTGTCAGGGGAGCTTTATAGCGGCCTTTTGCAGCTGGAGTACAGTTGGACTGTGGGTGCTGACTTGGGCTGTACACTGCCCTCGAGAAGGAACAGCCCCAGAGATCTGAGTAAGCGCAAGCCCTGAGGGGCTCAGTACTATTGCTGGGATCAGACTAAATTAACATGAGGATCTCACCTCCTGTCCCATTTTCCTAGAGGATATGAGATCATGGCGAATCGATGCCAATGGGGGGGACCACTGGAAGGTGGAGAGCCTCCCTGGAGAGCATGGGACACATTTTCCTGACCCCAAAGTCAAGAAGTACTTTGTCACATCCTATGGGTAAGACCAACTGAACTGAGCCGGCTTGTGTTGAGGGAGAAGAGGGTCAGGACACTTTTGCCAGAGTTCAAGCCCAACTGAGGACCTTTGCCACATGAGCCCTACCTCATATCCCAGTTCCGGGAATGGGGAAGCTCAGTGGCTTGGCTAATAAGTAATGGCAGATAGACATCAATTTAAGGAGACAGGGTCCACTAAACAGATAGGCTAAATCAGGGGTGCCCTCAGGTGTCCCCAAGCTAGGAACGGGAGTTCATAAGCACCCTTCCTTGGTGCTCTGGGAGACTGGACCTTGAGACTGGGATCAGATGCTTCCCTGGTAAAAAGGGTGAAACTCCCCCTGGCTGTTTCTCCTAGGCCTGTGATCAGGGTAGAAGCCAGTTAGCAGCCCCCAGTGCTTATCCTGTGGGGGTCAAGGGCCACCCTGGGGCTCCTGGACCTCCTTGGGCCCACAGTGGCTGTGAGGCCTGGCAGGGCAGGGCTGTGCAGGGCACCTGGGCGAACAGGCCTCTCCCTCTGCTCCAGCATGTGCCTCAAGTCCCAGCTGGTGGACCTGGAGGCAGAAGGCTACTGGGCAGAGCTCCTGGATACATTTCGGCCCGACATCGTGGTTAAGGACTGGTGAGTGGAGCCCAGGGCCCATGTCTCCACCTTGGGATCCTTCCCTCTTCTCTTCCTGCCATACCCATTGGGTGATAAAATCCAGAGAGTGCCCAGTCTGCCCAGCAGTGTCCTGAGACAAAGATAATCCCTTGACCTAGCCTCTCTACCAGCCTGGGATACAGTCAGCAGGCCGTGAGCCCGTTTGCAGATGGGGAGGCTGAGGCCCACGGATGAGCTGTCACTATTTGACCCAAGGCAACAGATGACCCTCTCTGGCCATCACAGAAATTCACATGCCTCTGTACATGTCTGCTTTCCCTGTGTCTCCCATTCTTTCCTGAGCTCCTACTTTGTGCACAAAACTGTGTGAGGCTCTGGGTTGGCCTGTGGCAGAAGCAGGGACTGTTTCATCTGGGCCCCAGGGCCACCAGAGATGCAGAGCAGAGAGCTCTGTGCCAGCCCACATCACACAGGCCACTGAGTCTCCCGCTCGAATCCGTGGCCCAGTCCATTATAATGTACAGGTCGCAGCTTTGGTTTTGCTTTTTAAGATCACAGCACAGTGCCCAAAGTACAGTGTCCACTTTTCTTAGGTGGAGTACCTGAGGCCCAGCATGGACGGACTGCTCACTCTGGGGCAAGCCAGGGGCACAGAGAAGACTGAGGCCAGTGGGGCCTGCTGGGCAGAGCAGTGCTGGGGAAGGGGCCCCAGCCAAGCTCAGGGAGGTGACACTCAGCTCCAGTGTGTGGGCCTGTGGCCTGCCCCACTTCTCCCAGGACCACTGTGGCTTGGGCGTAGCTCTCAGCCCCACCCTCCCCAGGTTCGCCGCCAGAGCGGACTGTGGCTGCACCTACCGCATCCGTGTACAGCTGGCCTCAGCCGACTACATCGTTCTGGCTTCCTTCGAGCCCCCACCTGTGACCATCGAGCAGTGGAACGATGCCACGTGGACAGAGGTGATCCTCACGTGCTTGCCCTGCCCCACCCACTTCTGCCAGGGCCAGGATGGCTGGAAACAAGGGGCAACCTGGGACGTGGAACACTCCCTCCCTCCTGGGCACCTCTTTCCTATAGGACCTGGCTCTTCCTTGCCCCTCTCCAGTTGTGTGGTCACCCTACCTCACATCCTTCCTCAGTTTCAGTGGTCACTTTCTCTCCCCTCCCCCCAGGTCTCCCACACCTTCTCCGACTACCCTCCAGGAGTCCGCCGCATCCTCTTCCAACATGGAGGCAAGGACACCCAGTTCTGGGCAGGCTGGTATGGCCCCCGAGTCACCAATAGCAGCATTGTTATCAGCCACAAGACAGCCAGGAACCGGGCTCCCTCCACTGAGACGGTGCAGAGGCCACTCAGCTTCCCAGAGGAGGAAGCTGCCCAAACGCTCCCCTTTCATCGCCCCAGGCTCTTCTGACAGTCTGTCATCAGGTGTTCATCCATCCTCTGTCCAGGCTGAGCAGCTTGTAGCAGTGAGGGAGCTCCTGCCCCAGTTCCCACCTGGGCTTATGCTGACTTACTGTCATGTAGCTCTGAGGTTTTGTTTAATAAACGTTTTCAGTAAAACTAGCCTGGGGTTGGGTTTACTGGTGGCACAGGGAGTCCCTGGCACTTGGGCAGAAAAACAGCCCCTCCCTCAGATTAATTTGGCTGCATTCAAAATAATGATAAATAAATAAATAAATAAATACTTATACTTTCTCTTTTTTCTTTTTTTTGAAACCCCAGCTCAGCCCTTGGGGCCCTTTTATTGAAACAACTCACAGCACAGTATTTTGGACAGACAGTGTTGGCCAGCTGAACCCCAAGAGGCTGAAAAACCGAGGTCCCAGCATCCTTCACTGCCCTCCTGAGGGAGGCTTCTTCCATGAAGGCAACCAGACCTGAGCAGCCGCTGGCTGAGGGCAGGCAGTCCATTCAGAGAGGCAATAAGAGCACTTGGAATCAGGTGGCCCTGCAGCACAGCCCTGGTGGGGGGGCCCCCAAAGTCCAACCGTTGTGGCATCAGGGGGTGGCAGGCATACCCTCAGCTGCTCTTATGGGCTCGCTCTTCCACGTAGAGCTGCATCTGATGAAAAGAAACAGCCATGTCGGGGGACAGCCAGGCATCGACCTGGAGGCCCAGGAGCCCAGGCAGGCAGATCTCTGCCAGAAGTGGGGCTGCTTGGCCACTGCCAGGGTTAAAAAAAAGGGAGGAAACAAACGAGCCTGACTAGGCACCCCCTAGTCCTCTCCTCCAGGCATTGACCCTTAAGCCCTCTGGCAGGGCTGCAGCACCAGGCCTCACCTCCTAAGCATCCCTAAATAAAGCTTCCCTGGTCCCCATACAGCTCACCTTTAAGATGTCTGACGTCATGGTTTTTAGGGGTATCAGTCGGGGGTCATGCATGTGGACATCCTGTTCATCTGCCAGGATCCAGGGGAAGTCCTGGGGAAAGGATCAAGGTACGGCTTGATAGGGACTGGACCCTAGCCTGCCCTCACCTTGCTGTCCTCCCCCACCCCAGGCTGGGTCCTTGCTACTTGGGAGAACACCCAAGCCCCTTGGGAACGGCTGGCAGTGCAGACTCACAAGCCCCCTATTGGGGGATTGAGTAGATGGGTCCAAGCTGGGGCCGGGAGAGTAGGTGATTTAACATTCCCAAGTACCAGTGCTGATACTGGTGGGCAAGGACTCTCTGCCTTGAGAACCCCGACTTCAGAAGGGCCAGGAGGAGCTGGTGGTTTCAGCCTGTAGTCCCTCTGGGTTCCTCTGAGCACTGAGTGCCCAGATGGGAGAGTGATGAGCATGCAGCCAGGTAGTCAACACAAGAGCTGCAGGGCACCAGGCAGAGCCGTCAGCGACGTAACTGTGTGTACTAGCCCAGGCCACACCCCGATCTGACTGGAACCCTGGCACCATGTCCCTCTCAGCTGCCTCCCTGCACCCCCAGACCATCTCTTCTCACCTTGATGACCTGGATCTTCTCCATGTTACGAGTGGCAGCTTCTCTAGTGTGCACCAGGACAGTGAAGGTACAGCCTGGAGAGGCAAGAGTTCAGTCAAGGCTGGTCCACCCCATACCTGCCACTGGGCCCAGGCCTTTCCACCTCCCCTACTGGCCTGGCAGTCCCCCAGGGCGGTGTGTAAATCAAGCGCAAAGAAAAGACACAGATAACAGGGAGACAGAAGCCAGGAGGAGGCGATCAGGGAAGCTTCCTGGAGGAGGTGAGTTTGGGGGTTCTGAAGGACAGGAAGAAGGAAACAAGGCTTGGTGCAGCCAAATAGGAAACCAGGAACACAGACCAAAGGAAGAGAGGAGGGAGGTAAACACACCTGGGGGGTTGTGGTCCAGGACAGCATCACACACACTGATCTTCAGGATGAAAGCTCGGAGCAGCTGCTCCACGTGAGACAACAGGGAGTCTGAGCTGGGAGCCAGAGAAGAGGGTCTCCCATCACACCGGTGTCCCCCTCCAAGCAGCAGTCAGCCACTCGAAGCAGACCTAGGGGCCAGCGCTTCTGGGAGTACAGCTTCTAGGGCCCCGCTCCCTATTTAGTCCACAGTTAAAGTGACCTGGGGAGTTTAGAACCAAGCTCCAGGGTCTGACCAGTGGCTCAGCAGTGACATGATGCTCTGTGAAGCTGACCCACATGGGAGGTTCCAGATTTGTATCCAGGGGCCTCCCTGAACATGCCTGGCAAGTATGTGCCCATGATCTGGGCTGGCTGGGGCTGGACCACAGCATGAGAACCCCGTCAGGGGTGCCTGCCTGCCTGTCTGTCTTGCTCATGGAAGAAATAAATCAAACAGAAAACAATTATTGATACCAAGGCCCAGGCCCAGGTGTGGTGACATGATGGTCTACAATGTAAGAAGCTAGGAAGACCGAGGTTTGGTCCTTTAGTCAACTCGTACACGCCAGGCACACGCATGCCATAATTCTGGCTGCTGGGAAAGGCTGGGGGTGGAGGGGCTGTGCCATGAGACCCTATCAACGGTACTTGTCTCTCTCTCAAGGAAAAATGAACAAACAAACAAACAAAAGCCAGCCAGTGGTGTGGTGGTTAAGGTGGCTGCATCCCACATGGCTAACAGAGCCATGAGTCCTGGACCTGGCAGCCTGAGAAATACGCCAGGCATGTATGCGCGTGTGCTCCAAATTCCAAGAGAACGGAGGAGGGCCTGCAGATTAGCCACCCTCCCCCGCCCCAGGGCTGCTTTCTCATATTTTCTCTCTCTCCCCCTCTCTTTCTCTCTCTCTGGGGAGGGCACATGCCCTATAGGAAAACGTTTTTTAAAAAGTAATTATTTAATTCCATTTGTTATTACTATTTTTTAACTTGACCAGAGAGAGACAGAAAGAGAAAATGAGAAAGCAGGACACCAGGTCTGAGACTCAAATCGCGGCTGGCTATGTGGAAATCCAGCACCTTAACCACCATGCCACCCGCCGGCCCACAGATCATTTTTTTAAAATAACACAGACACACAAGGTTCAGCCTATCCAAACCAGGTCACAACTGGGGGTTGGAGGGTTCCTGAAGAGGTCTAAACTCCAGCCAGGCCTGAGAACCAGGACACAGCCCAAGTCTCTTCATACTCTAGGATGCCACGCTGGGAGCGGAAAGGGCATGCCTGAGGCCACACAGACAGGGGCAGGCTGGTGCCAGATTCCAGTGCCCCGACCTGACCATGGGAAGCATGAAGCCGACCAGCTAACACAGATGTCCAAGGTATGGGAAGCATGAAGCCGACCAGCTAACACAGCTAACACCTTCTAGCTGACTATGGACTGCACAGTTCACTGAGAAGTCAAGAAACTGGGTGGCAGGTCCTGGGCTCTGCTGGCACCCAAGTGGCCCTGGGTAGCTCCTGTCATCTCTCTGAACTTTGGTTTCTCCATCCATAACGTGGATGAGCCAGTCACCAGTGCTGACTTTCCAAGTGTGACACAGAAGGGAGTCGTGTAACCTGTGCACTGTCCTCAGGGCAGTCACTGCCAGCAGTGCCTCAGCTGCTAACAGGCTCAACGAAGCCTCACCAGGTGGACATGTCTTGTCATTTCTCCTCTCAGGTCCCTACCGAGGTACTTGGAGGCTGCCATAAAGGGGGTGGGGAAAGGGTATTGCTAGAGACCTCATAATAGTCAGACGTGGAAGGGGATAGGCAGCTCACCTGATGGACAGCAATGGAGGCTGCGTGATCTCAAAGACGAATTTCTCCACTGGGCGGTGCTCTTTATCCAAAATCACCACCACCACTTTCTCCACATCATTCTGCAAGGACAGAAATCCCCCAATCCAGAGCTGGGCTCCCCATCCCTCCTTTACCCCTCCCTGCACACCCACAGCCCTGCTCAGCTGCTAGACAGAGGGTCTGAAAGCAGGTTCAGGAAGTTCAAGTTGGTGACCCCAATATTAGAGGTACAGGCTGAGAGGAGAGGATGCCTGGGCCCCATGGAAGCCCCAGGAAGTCTCAGAGATTAGAACGACACAGGAAGAAAAAACCATAAAGGGTCTACCCAGAAAGAACTTTTACTTTGCAGGGGCGTGGGGGGAGGGGTGAGCAGTATGGGGAAGAGAAACAGATGTGAAGAAAACCCAGAGCCCTCTAGGGCAGGCCCCACTCAGAGTCAAAGGGCCCATGGCACCCTCAACATGGCCCACGAACCCTGGGGACTGTCCTGGGTAAGAGTGAACTCCAGAGTATGGGTAATAGGCTTCTGGGTGTTAGAGCCATGGGGCTCTCCCACAGTCCCCGTATCGCCTCAGCCGTGAGTTGGGGGGATGTGCGTGGAGGAACAGACTTGGGGTGAGATGGCTGGTGGGTCGGGCCGCCCCCTCACCTTCTCTAGGAGTGGCTTGACGCAGTGCAGCGTGTCCTGGATATACTGGTTCAGCTCCGGGTGGCAGGACATCTGCACACAACACCACGTGGCTGATGAGGTCCAAATCACAAATAGGGAAACCACTGACACCCTCTGCGGGAGGCGAAGGCCCCCGCTGCCTTCACACAGAGGCCCAGCAGCTCCCTAGGGCTCCCTACTCAAAAAGCTGACTTCCCCTCATGGGGCTAAGGACTGAATTTACCCAAAGAAAAAGGAGAAGTTACAAGACAAGAATTCCATCTCAATGCTAGCATTTAATACTACATTAGGGGTTCCTAATATAGGGTCCATGGACTGTTCCAGAGTCTGAAAAGGCCTGAAACCTGCATACAAAACTGTATGTATTTTGCACATGGGCATTTTTCCAGGAAAAAAAAAATTCAAAAAAAAATCTTCTTGCCAGAGGGCATGTGCACTCGCCAAAGACAGTGCACCCCCTCCTCCCCAATTGCTGCAATCCCTCTTCCTCCATTTTTCCACCCCGTCAGGATTTTGGGCATGTGTGCATACACACACACCCAGGACCCAGGATGTTTTTCATCCACTGGGGTCAAGATCTTTTTTTTTTTGTTTTTTTTTTAGTTTGCTATAGGGCACGTGTACACGTGCTTGCTAGAGACAGAAGGAGAGAGAAAGTGAGAAATCACTCCTTAGAGGGGATGGCCAAGCCACAATTCCTTCTCCTCTATTCTCCTCTGGGGATTTTGTGCACACACGTGCCCTGCATATTTCCCAAGCCACAAGGTTGGGACTCGACCCACAAAGTTAGACATGTGGGATCCAGTCACCTTAACTTCCACGCCACCTGCTCACCTGCTGGCCCCAGCTGGGGTCAGGATTTCAACCAGAGTCAGCCATGTGGGATCCAGCTCCCTATGCCTAGCCCAGGGCTGCTACATTATGGGGCCAGCTCAAGATCCAGAAATTTAACTGGATTGCAAATTAAAGCAATCCAGGCAAATTACTTAATTTTTCTGAACTTGAATTATTTCATCTGTGAAGATCTCATAAAGAAAAAGTGAGGATTAAATGAAATAGAAGCGTCCCAGAGATGGTCCTTGACGTACAACAGGCTTACTTTCTACTGAATATGTGTGTGCCACTTTTCACACTTTCATAAAGCGAAAAACTACTGTATGTGTATCCTTTAAGCTCCTACCACCACCACCCATATTTGGTCATTTATTCTAATGTTTGCTGATCACCTTCCCAGGGACAGGCCCTTCTAGGGACTGGATACAAAGCAGCTTGTTTACCGCTTGGTCTGCCTTCCAACCTTAAAGGACACATTAGTGTTTAGGGTGAATGAAGGGAGAGAGAGGTCCAAGAGCCTTATTAGAATCCCCTCCCCAGGGGACTGGCAGGTGGCCTGTGGTTAAGAACACTGGACTCCTATATGGACGACCATGGTTTGGGTCCCAGACCTGGTAGCTTGCTTTCTCACTCCCCTCCCCCTCACTCTGTTCTTCTCTGGTTGAATTAAACTAACTAAATAAATAAAGTTAAAATAATAAAAATAATTATTTAAAAACAAAAGGAATCTCCTCCCAAAAAACTTAGCAACAGGGACACAGGTGGTGGTGTGGTTAAGGCGGTGGACTCCCACATGACCAACCATGGTCTGAGCCTGGGACCTGGCGGCTTGCTTTCTCACTTTCTGTCTCTCTCTGGTCAAATAAAAAAGGGATAATAATAAATAAAATAATGCTTTAAAAGAGTCAGCAGCCTCAAGAGCTCCTTTACAATAGTCAGGCTGCCAGAGAGCAACTCTAACCCGAGGGTCTGGTCCGTAACTTCTGGCAGGAGAAGCTCCCTTCTAAGTGGATGCAAAGAAATGCCACCGCCTTCAGCGGTAGGAGGCTGTCCGAAGATCAGGAGGAAGGCAAGGGCAGGACGCTGGGAAATGAGCAGGCTGGGCCTGAGGGTGGGAGAGTCAGAAAAGCTCACCTTCTCCCAACTCTGACTCTGGGCGCCAAATGGCCCCAGCCCGGCCGTAGGGCTCACCTGGACCGGCACATTGTACTTCTTGCGCTTCTGGAAGATGCCCACCGGGTAGACCTCACGCACGTAAAGGATTAGGTGCACGGCCACCTCCAGGAACTCGCAGAGCACATCGGCCACCACTGCAGAGGGAGCACAGTCAGTGTGCTCGGGGAGCAGCTGTCCCAGGCCCCCTTTTCCCCACGCCCGCAGGGCCAGGCTCCCTACCTTGGCCAAAGTTGAGGTCTTGTCGCGTAAGCGTGGTCATCCTTCCCGCTACCTGGGGAGGTGGAACAAGGGGAGGCAGTAGTTTCAAAGGCCCAAGAACTACAAGGCCGCCTGCCTGCAGGGCAGAATTCTAGGGGGGACTAGGGCAGGCCCCCACCTCCACCCCGCTACTCACACGGAATCAGAGAGGCGGAGAAGGACCCCCCAAGCTGGCGTCATAGCTTGCTGGCATCAGCTGTGCCCCGAGCAGCCTCAGTCCTCTGGCCGCCCACGCGCCCTCGCCCCGCTGTCTTGGGGGACAGCAAAGAAGAGTCGTGCCCGCAAAAATGGTAGGGCCGCGGACGCAGAGGTAAACAACTGGATGTACAGAGCCAGGAGCGTAAAGCCAGACACGCGGAAAGCGAGGCTGGGCAGGACTAAGGCTCCGCCCCCTGCCCAGCCGGACCCCTCCCCAACGGAAATCCCGCCCCCTCTCTTCTGCCTCGGTTCCCGCCGGGCACAGCGCTGAGAGCCGCCGACCCGGCCACTTGCGCCTCCCGCTCCGCCCGCGGCTGAGGCGCCACTCCGTGACGTCCCTG